TTTTTTTTCTGAAGAAGGGTCCCGACCCGAAACATCAGCTTTCCTGCTCCTCTGATGCTGCATGGCCTGCTGTGTTCCTCCAGCTCCACACTGTGTTATCTATGTATTAAGATATGTATGTTCCAGTCCATGCAAGTGCATAACACTGTAAGCCTCAATCCCAAATTGACTTTCAGCATAATTTTTCACACAATCAGAATTGTCCAACAAATGTTGTCTAGTCATTGAATCATTTTGATGTTGTACACCACATCATGAGCTTTGCAACCACGAGTTGGAAGAGTTTGGTCAGTACCTTCCTTGTTGTGAACAGCCGGAGAGCTATGCCCTTGGTATTCTTGTGAACTGTCCTGATGAATACAAGACAAATTACTTCGACTAAATGTGACACTTTTCAGAAAGACTTGATTTTGTTAATCAGAGTTTCGTTTGTTCAAGCCAGCTGGAGTTACTGTCAGACACCAATTACATCTCAGAACAGAGAACACCTACAGCATCAGCACCTGGTAAAACAATATGTTGATACCTTTCAACAAACCTTCACATATATTTTTGCTAACATGCCATTCAATTCCAATATCATGACTTAGTGTTAGTAATCTTCCCTGTGAATCAGGAGGTTGCTCAAAATCTTGAATCACCCTCAAGTACTATTCTAAGGGTGTACTGCACTTTGAGGGTTTTTCTGGCTTGTGAAACCAAAACCCCATCTCCACTCTTACTGGGCATAGTAGACACTCTTGACACTCCTTTAAGAAATGTGGATGAAGCCTTGCAAGATACCTTAATCAATACATATCCCATAGCCATCATCACTATACAGATTGTCTAATGTTTACCCTATTGCAACTTGTGGGACCTTGCTCAGGGCATATTGGCAATGATATACCCTACATTATAACAGCGACTACATTTTAGAAACATGAACAGACTGCTAAGCAACAAAATGTCCTAAGGTTATAAAAAGCACTATATAAATGCCATTTTTTCTTCTTTATTTTAATGATCATGAGATTACAAAAGCTTCTCCGATCGAATTGATGTGGGACTATTTTTTGGTCTGTCACACTACACTCTGCCTTCAGCTACTTTTTCCTTCAACTGACATACTTAGCAAGAGCTAATGAGTGAGTACATCATCTGCAGCAACCTTGGCTGCCCTCCACTGACATCTTCAATTCTGACTGAGGATGGCATTTTTTAAACAGATTATGATCACGGCTTAATACAAAATGTTCTTTATTCTTGGAAGGCGTCACTTACGTATACTATCCTTCATATTCCTCAACATTTGCTATTACTTTTATTGTGATGTTAATTCAATTATTGTATCTCCTCTGACTTTTCCTACAGTACATCAGAGAAATCTGGTGACAAGCAATGAAATACATGGACATAAGGAAATGTGAGGTAGAGTGTGTGATTTATACATTTTGATATCATTTGTTTTTGAGGTTGGATTTTTTAAAATTTTGACCTAGTTGCATTTGGGGTTGTGTCTCTAAAGGGTTTAATAAATAACTTCTAAGAATTTCTATGGCCATAGTAACAGATTCTCCAGAACAAAAACAGAAGTTGCTGGAAAAGCTCAGCAGGTCTGGCAGCATCTGTGAAGAAAAAATAAGAATTAACATTTCGGGTCTGGAGACCCTTCCTCAGAACTGATGGTAGGTAGGAAAGCATTGTTTCATATGCAGACCATAAGGAAGGGATTTGGGTAGGGAGTAAACAATAAGTTAAAGGATAGAGTCCAAAGAGAGAGAAGAGCAGTTGGATAGACAAAGGAGTTGATAAGAATCTGGCTAGGAGGGTGAATAGCTGTTAATCGGGACTGTTGGTGACTAACAATAAGCAGTACGTAATGGCAGGCTATGTAATAACAAGGCCTAGTGCATGGGGTAGGGGGCTAGGGGGCTAGGACATGGGAGAGTTTAGGCTCCAAAATTATTGAACTTGATATTGAGTCTGGAGGGCTGCAGGGTCTCCAAGCGGAAAATGAGATGTTGTTCTTCCAGCTCACGCTGAGCTTCGCTGGAACACTGCAACAAGCCAGAGATGTTGGCCAGGGAACAGGGTGGTGTGTTAAAGGGCAGGCAATTGGAAACTCAGGGTCCTTTTTTAAAAGCAGAATGTAAATGTTCTGCGAAGCGGTCACCCAGTCTACGCTTCATTTCCCCAGTGCAGAGCAGACCACATTGTGAAAAGCAAATGCAGTGGACTAGATTGTGCAAAGTGCAGGTGAAGTGTTGCCTCACCTGGAAAGTATGTTTGGGCCTTTGGATACTGGGCAGGGAGGAGGCAAATGGGCAGGTGTTACACCTTCGCCGGTTACAGGGGAAGGTGCCATTGGGCTGTGGGGGGGTGGGTGTTGGGAGTGAAGGAAAAGTGGATCATGGTGTTCCAGAGGGAATGGTCCCTGAGGAAGGCAGGCAAGGAACAGGAGGGGAGGGAATGTGTGTCTGGTGATGGCATCTCGCTTGAGGCAGCAGAATGGCATCTGATGATCTTCTGGATGTGGATGCTGTTAGGATAGTAGGTAAGGACAAGGGGAATGCCTATCACTGTTGCGGGAGGGGAGAGGGGGTGAGAGCAGAAGTGCAGGAGAATGGTCAGACCCAGTTGAGGGCCTTGGCGAAAAAGGTGCTGGGGAATCCTCGGCTGAGGAGGAAGGTGAACGTTGTAGGAGCTACCTTTTCAAAGTTGGCCTCATCTGAACATATGCAACAGAGGTGGAGGAACTGAGAGAATGGGATGAAGTCTTTACAGGAAGCAGGGTACAAGGATGTTTAGTCCAGGCAGCTGTGGGAGTCGGTGGTTTTATAATGGATATTAGTGGCCAGTCTATCTCCGGAAATGTAAACAGAGATGTCGAGGAAGGGAAGGGAGGAGTCAGAGATGGACCAGGTGAAAGTGAGGGCAGGGTGGAAATTGGAAGTGAAATCGATGAACTGGGGCCCATGGGGGTAAGCATGGCCACCCCTCTGACATGAAGAAAATGACAGGCGTTAAAACGGAAGTCATTGAAGATGAGGATGAGCTCGGCCAAGCGGAGGAGGGTGGTGGGTGGGTGGGGACGGTTCAGGCCTTTGCTCCAGGAAGGAGTGGACAGCCCTAAGACCATCCTGGTGGGGGATGTACGTGTAAAGGGATTGCACATCCATGGTAAAGAGATGATGGCTGGAGCCTGCAAACTGGAAATTTTGAAACTGGCATAAAGCGTCAGAGGAATCATGGATGTACGTGGGCAGAGCTTGGACCAGGGAGAGAAGACTGAGTCAAGACAGGAAGAGATGAGTTCTGAGGGTCAGGAGCAGACTGGAACAATGGGTCTGCCTGGACAGTCCTGTTTGTGGATTTTTGGAAGGATGCAGAAGCAAGCTGTGCGGGGCTGAGGGACTATCAGCTTGGAGGCAGTGGCAGGGATATCACCAGATGAAATGAGGTCAGTTACTGTAGTTGATACAATGGCCTGATGTGTCACGGTGGGGTCATGGTCCAGGGGAAGAAAGGAGGAGGTATCTGAGAGCTGGCGCTGAGCCTCTGCAATGTACAAGTCAGTACACCAGATTACAACAGCACCTCATCTTACTGGCAGGCTTAATAACAAAGTCAGGGTTAGATCTAAGTGCACAGAGTGCAGTCAGTTCAGAGGTGGAATAGGCTGGATTTGGTGAGGGGGGGGCAGATTCTCCACGCTGGGGGTTGAAGTCACTGTTAAATGAAGCTAGTCAAGGTGATAAAAGAGGACGTTGTCTGTGGTGTGAATTCTATAAAGGTTGCTTTTGGAATCAATGGAATTATGTTTTGACCACGTGTTTTGAAATCTTTAAACATGTGTCGTATGTAAATAGGTTGGTTTATTCTACTTCATTTCTTCATTCATATCTTCATTTCTGTTGAATAATAAATATGTTTTATTGTTAAAACCAAATCTGCAAAATTATGTGCTTATTTTCAGTGAGAAACCACCTGTTAAAACCAAAGACAAAAAACAAGATAGGATCTATCTATTAACCACAATCTCAGTCTGAGAACAGACTTAGGTCCAGTAATCAGGTGGGATCATACCAAAAGTGATGTTGATTCATTTGTGGGAAATTCGAATCAATCAGGAAGTAGAAACACAACACTTGCTAATCAAACAAAAATCCCAGTTCATTACATTAGCAGCCCCATGATATCATGGCCATGATAGGATAGAATACAAAAGCAAGGATGTGATAGTGAACCTTTACAAAACAATATTTCAGCCTTAATTGAGACTTTTGTGCCCAATTATAGGCACTGCACTTTATATGAAGGATATGTTGGGGTGCAGAAAAAGTTTGGAAGAATGGTTTCACTTTAGACTTTAGATTAAGCAGAAATCTGGACTAGGGTGCACAAATGTAAAACCAGTCTGAAATTGCACAATCTGTCCTTATTTTCATAGAATGCTGATTTTAAATTATTTAAAGAAAAACAATCAAACGTATGGAAATTGAGGAAGCAGAGGATTTATGCTGCAGTAGAGACTCAGGAGCAGACAGATGCAATATTGAGTTCCATTGCATTACCACTGGTGACAGGCAATAATTGGATTATGACAACTGTACATTGATAATAGAAAATGCCATCGTGGTGGAAACAGCACGTGGTCAAGGACAAAGATACATTAAGTCTTATGGGAGGGGCCCTCCTTCAGCTTACACAAATACAAGGCGATCAACTCTGAGTAAGAAACAAGAGACACTTTGGCATGACTGCGGGAACATGTGGAGGCCAGGGGAGGGAATCTGTGGGACCTGGAACCAGGGAATGTGAGAGAAGCACATGCACAAAAATCATAGGTTGTCACTACAGGTTACTGAAAAGCAATCCCTGAGCAGAAATTATAATAAATACATGACAAAACAGCATCATGGGATCAACATGGGATTTGGGACAGCTGACCCAATTAAAAGTAGTCCCATAAAATCTGATATGGTAATCTTGCACAAACAGGAACTTTAAATCTTTTGCCTGTTATTTGCCACGCTTTATTTTATCAAGGACATTGCATTAAACGATTCATTTTAGTGATGTGCACATTGCCAGCAAGGTTGGTAATTACTGGTCACCACCAAGTGCCTTTAATATGAAACAACAAGGTGCAGGGCTGGATGAACACAGCAGGCCAAGCAGCATCATAGGAGCAGAGAGGCTGACGTTTCGGGCTTAGACCCTTCGTCAGAAAAGGGGGAGGGGAAGGGGGTTTTGAAATAAATAGGGAGAGAGTGGGAGGCGGATAGAAGAGGGATAGAGGAGAGGATAGGTGGAGAGGAAACAAACAGGTCGAAGAGGCGGGGATGGAGCCAGGAAAGGTGAGTGTAGGTAGGGAGTTAGGAAGGGGATAGGTCAGTCCAGGGAGGACGGACAGGTCAAGGGGGCGGGATGAGGTTGGTCGGTAGGAGATGGAGGTGCGGCTTGAGGTGGGAGGAGGGGATAGGTGGGAGGAAGAACAGGTTAGGGAGGCAGGGACGAGCTGGACTGGTTTTGGGATGCGGTGGGGGGAGGGGAGATTTTGAAACTTCCCCTCCTCGGTGGTCGAGAACGCCCTCAACCGTGTCTCCCACATCTCCCGCACCTCATCCCTCACACCCCGTCCACGCAATAAAAACCAAAAAAGAATCCCCCTCGTCCTCACGTACCACCCCACCAACCTCCGGATCCAACGCATCATCCTCCGACACTTCCGCCATCTGCAATCCGACCCCACCACCAAAGACATCTTTCCCTCCCCACCCTTATCTGCTTTCCGGAGGGACAACTCTCTCCGTGACTCCCTTGTCCGCTCCACACTCCCCTCCAGCTCCACCACACCCGGCACTTTTCCCTGCAACCGCAGGAAGTGCTACACCTGCCCCCATACCTCCTCCCTCACCCCCATCCCAGGCCCCAAGAAGACTTTCCACATCAAGCAGATGTTCACCTGCACATCTGCCAATGTGGTATACTGCATCCGCTGTACCCGGTGTGGCTTCCTCTACATCGGGGAAACCAAGCGGAGACTCGGGGACCGCTTTGCAGAACACCTACGCTCGGTTCGCAACAAACAACTGCACCTCCCAGTCGCGAACCATTTCAACTCCCCCTCCCATTCCTCAGACGACATGTCCATCCTGGGCCTCCTGCAGTGCCACAACGATGCCACCCGAAGGTTGCAGGAACAGCAACTCATATTCCGCTTGGGAACCCTGCAGCCCAATGGTATCAATGTGGATTTCACAAGTTTCAAAATCTCCCCTCCCCCAACCGCATCCCAAAACCAGTCCAGCTCGTCCCTGCCTCCCTAACCTGTTCTTCCTCCCACCTATCCCCTCCTCCCACCTCAAGCCGCACCTCCATCTCCTACCGACCAACCTCATCCCGCCCCCTTGACCTGTCCGTCCTCCCTGGACTGACCTATCCCCTTCCTAACTCCCTCTCTACACTCACCTTTCCTGGCTCCAGCCCCGCCTCTTCGACCTGTTTGTTTCCTCTCCACCTATCCTCTCCTCTATCCCTCTTCTATCCGCCTCCCACTCTCTCCCTATTTATTTCAAAACCCCCTTCCCCTCCCCCTTTTCTGACGAAGGGTCTAGGCCCGAAACGTCAGCCTCTCTGCTCCTATGATGCTGCTTGGCCTGCTGTGTTCATCCAGCCCTGCACCTTGTTGTCTCGGATTCTCCAGCATCTGCAGTTCCTACTATCTCTGATTGCCTTTAATATGAAGTTGCCTTGTTGACTACAAATCAGTGACTTGCTTGTAGACTTCAGAGGTCAGTGAAGAGCCAACTATGTTGCTGTGGGTCTGGAGTCACATTTAGGTCAGAACAGACAAGGACAGCAAATTTCCTTATCTGAAGGATTTTAGTGAATAGCTCGAGTACTCATTGCAATCCCGTAATTTCATCGTCACCACTATTGGTGCTAACTTTTATATTTCAAATTTATTTAATTAAATTTAAATTCCCCATTTGCCAAGACAGAAGTCTTTGGATCACTAGTCCAAGTCTCTAAATAACTAGTCACTAGTTACCAGTTGCAAAATCTCTAATCCAGAAAGTGAATACTAAATTACTGTACACCTTCTTTAATTTGACTATGTTAGTTCTGATTAGAAGCTGCAGCCAAAGTCATGAAGTTTACTTTCACAATTGGGTTTGTTGAATGAGCTGTTTCTTATTTTCAGCAAGTTCTTTCTCTTAATTTCTGATTTTTAGAATTTCTCTTTTTGTTCACGTACCTGAGCTGGGTTAACATTTCCACGCTCTTTCACATCATAATGATAGGAAAAGACATCTGCCATGGTTATGTTTTCAGTGGCATCTGGGATTGGGTCTCGGAGAAGTTGTCGAATTTCTTTCTCTGTCCACACACAGAAAGCTCCCTCTTTCTTGTCAATGGACTCAGTTGTAGGGTAGGAATCTGCATCTTCGGCACTGTAGAAACCTCCAGACTGTAAAGACAGAATGAGTTAATCACAGAGGCAGGAAACATACAACTATTTCATAAGCAAAGCATTGAATTCTAACTTCCCCAAACTTACTCAATCTTTGAATCTAATTTACGAGCGAACTAAAGCCACTGTGTTCTTAGATCCCACCACAAAATAAGTACCATCACTACTTACACCTACCTTTCCCAGTCACTGTTTCAAGCTAGACTCAACTGTTTGCAACTTTGCCATCTTATTCAAATCGAAGATGGGTTATCAACCTTGTTCCCCTACAAGTGAGTACCCTACTGTCATTATTTCTAATGCTGCACTAATCCACACCAACAAAACCCATCTCGCGGGTGCTGCTAAAGCCCTTATCCAGCCCTAGGTTATCTCCAGACTCGCGCACTGAAGTGACAGGTAAACATTAATAGAAAAGCAAAATACTACAGGTGGAAATCTGAAATAAAACAAAGTGCTAGAAACATCCAGAAAGTCACACGTATCTGTGGAAACAACGTGACCAATTCAGGTTGGCAACATTTCATCATAGTATTTCACTCTTGTCTTCGTGATAGATGAACAAGACTTAATGGGAATTGGAATACGAGCAGCAGAGTTTTGGTTGATCTCAAACTTACAGAGACTGGAAGTTGGGAGAATGACTAAGAGAATACTGGAATAGTCAAGTATCAAGGGAAGAACATATGGTTGAGGCTTTCCATGAACCATAAACCAGACTTGAAAATCATAGCATTGGGATCTTCATCGCAAGGTACAAATATTTGACTGGCAATCACTTCCCCACTGTAGGGACAGATATTAAAATATTAATCCTTTCAGTGTGGCAATGTGACAGAAACAAAGCAGCTCAAGACTGAAGCAATATGCTAGTTAACTTCGAAAGGGTCGGTTGCTGAATTTTAACCGAACAGCATTCATAAAAATGTCCGTTTATTTTAAAATTGAAAAATAAAAGGTGAACAGCAGCAGAGATCAGCAACAAAATGGGCATATTCTCTCATGGCCTTTTCTCACGAACTTTTCTCGAACCAGCTAAGAGTCAACAAGATTGAAGCACGTGTTTAGATTGCTAACAAATGCATGGCACAGCACTAATTGGAGCATGACAAGACCCAAAGTAATAATGTGACAATGACAAGATAATCTGTAGAGGGTGCGGTCAAAGGTGGTGAAAGGACAATTAGATATGGCTAATAATAATCCTGCCTAGAGATACCCATACGCCAAGAATGAATGCAAAACAAGCACTACCCTGACAATAAATTACAATTTTGAAAGCGTTTGCCTAATGATCCAGTGTGATGTTTAGATTTTCCAACATCAACAGTCTTTGTGACCTTACTGAGTATTCACCAATCACATACAACAGGAGACTTCTATGTCATCACCCTGAACAAGAACAGCCATTGCCACAGTATTTTTTAGTCACTGTATTTTTCCGGTCATACCAAAAACAACATAAAATACCTACTGCAGGAGTCATGTGTGGCATTTTGAAGCACAATAATAAGGAAGCAAAGCACTGACAAACAAAGGTCTTGAAGTGAAAGAGAATCATATCAATAATTTAATAGCTTTGAATTAATTGGCTCTTTGTTGTCCAAGAGAAGGTAGATTTCATTAAACATTTGACCTTGGAAATTTAGCTACCACTGCTGCCTCTCAACACTGGGAGTGCTATAATGACATGATGTGGAGGTGTCAGTGTTAGACTGGGGCAAAGAAAGTCAGAAGTCACACGACATCCGGTTATAGTCCAACAAGTTTATTCTGAAATCACAAGCTTTCAAAGTGCAGCCCCTTCGTCGGGTGAAGTGTGAGAGAAGAGCACACAGACACAGAATTTATAGGCAGAGAGATTAAGCGCAGAGAGATCCAAAGACCGTCCAAATAGTGTGAGTGGACTGTCGAATAATAAGTCTCTGCAGGTGACCAAGTGTTAGACGGTGTGAGTAAAGTGTCAACAGCTAAATAACAAGCGAAGGGATAACCTATAATCCAATTAAAAGAGGCAGAAAGATAATTACAAAAAATTAAAAATAAGGTGGTGCTGGAGACAAACTAAATGACTAGAATAACATGATAGGTAAAAGAGTTGCATACTGATGGTATAGCCAAAGTAATAGGTAATCCAAAACTGTACAAACTAATTAAGGTAGTGAGATCATAACAATTTATCAAGGTGATGGTGTCAAAACAGGACAGTAAAGGGAGGCCTTACAGATACAGATGTGTGCGGAGGTCACATGTAGCACGACAAGAACCCAAGATCATGGTTGAAGTTGTCTTCGTGGCCATGGAACTTGGCTATCAGTTTCTGCTTTGCAATTCTGCGTTGTTGTGTATCCCAAAGCCTGCCTTGGAGGACGATTACCCAAAGATTGCTTACCCCAAGCCTTTTCTCTTTTTTGCTTTCGAATCCAGCATCCTCAGTATTCTACATTTAGTGCTTCATTAATTCAACATCCTGTTCAATCTGATGATTCAACTGATGACATACGACTATTATCACACAGAACAACGACAGAAACTGAACTCTGATCACCAAGCCTGACAAACAATTTGTCTGCACCTGCTGTTTCATTAGCAGTCTGTCAACAAATGGATTAGCAAATTAAAACAAACTGTGCATTTTAGCAGGATTATATCATAGATGACCAACTCATGTTAATTGAATAATCTATGGCTTTTTTGCAGCAATTAATGGCATATTTGGCTGTACTGAAACACTGGAATAATTCTGCTTCCTTGTTAAGCACGCATGTTGTGTTGTGTCTTGTTGTGCCTCAACAATGAATTTAACAAGTGGTGGCTTTTCCCCATTTTGTTTACGCAGTCTCATCAATTCCCCAGCTAGGTGCTAAGAAGGTTACAAACATATTTTGCAACTTTGAATTCATAACGTTGCAGAAGGAGTTACAGCAGGAGAAATTTGAAAGGATTGGATTGAAAGTGGTTGGATTCATTTATCAGAACACTAAGGTTGACCACAACATTTTCAATTTAATTTTGTTTGTTACTACCGTGTACAGATTCAGATTCACCGCAGTAATTGCAGTGATTTTCAAATCAGACTTTATTTATTCTGTCCCCCATTTTTACTGTCTTCACCTTTCAATTATGGCAGAAGCAATCTGTGTGCACGTGTCTGCACTTGTGCGTCTGTGCGTCTACAGCTGGGATCTTTCAACTGAGACGGCTAGTTTATGCCTATTAAAGGGCATAGGGTCAATATTAACTGCTTGGGCCAGTGCAGGGATCCTGGTTTTAGTGTTCACATTGAAGAGGAGTTTGCAGGGTGATCTTATAGCGGTTTATAAAATCTTGAGGGGCTATAGTTAGGGTGAGTGGCAGGTGTCTTTTCCTTCATGTAGGGAATTTCAAGACTAGGGGGCATATTTTAAAGATGAGAGGAGAAAGACTTAAAAAAGACATGAGGGGCATTTTTTTTTTTTTTTTTACACACAGCGAGTGGTTCGTGTGTGGAATGAACTTCCAGAGGAAGTGGTGGATGCGAGTACAGTTACAACATTTAAATAAGCACATGAATAAGAAGTGTTTGGAGGGATATGGGCCAAGCTCAGGCAGGTGGGGCCAGTTTAGTTTGGGATCATGATCAGCAAGGACTGGTCAGACTGAGGGGTCTGTTCTCATCTGCGTGATCCTATGGCTGGTTGACTTGGTGAGACAGTAAACGGGTTACAGCACTCACTCTGACTGCTAGAAGCCAATGTGACTGTAGGCAAAGGGAGAAGAAACATCTGAATAAGTGGAAATATTACCACTCACTAGGCTCTGAAATGGGTCCAGGATTCATAACCTTCTGATTTAGAGGCTAAAGTGTCCCACTTAACCAAGACTGTCCCACTAATTATAGATCAAATCCTTTTTCACCAAAACCTTGTTTACAAAATCAAATCTGAAAAATAGCATGTCATAACATTTTTACTGCCTTCAATATTTCTTCTCCCTTTGTCTGCTGACACGTTAGGTTCCAGTAGCAGGAGTAAATCCTGTTAGCCATTTAAGGACTCACCATGTCATCTGTGGCAACTATGGCTCTGAAGCCAGGGTTCCTGCATCTGAAATAAGTAAGCAGGGTCCTATTACAAGTCCAAAGACAAAATTGTTCACAATGTGGCACCACAATGAAACATCAACATAGATTGTTACTCAAATTGTGGGCTGGAACCTGTAACCAATGGAAAAGCTACGCTGACACAACAGAACAGGACTCAGTTCATGGTACGTGGAATGGGTACCAACAAGCCCTTTGTCTCTACCAGCCTGAAGCCTTTAACATTGTTCATTGCACCATCCTCCTCCAATGCCTCTCCACCACTGTCCATCCAGGTGATGGTGCACTTATCTGATTCAATTGTTATGCAACAAGTCATAATCAAAGAATCACATGCAATGGATATTTTCAAACCTACAACTCTCCCTTTGATGTTTCTGAAAAATTTAGTCTCACTCTCTTCATGTTTCTTGCCCTCAGTGACATCATCTGAAAACAGAGTGATAGCTTCGATACAGAGGCTGACGACATTCAATTCTACCCAAACCATCAACTCTCAACTCCCCAACTATTGCTAAATGCTCTAACTGCTTGTTCAACATCCAATACAAAACAGAGATTTTCTCCAACTAAATATTGGGGTGACCAAAACCACTGTCTGCAGTCCCACTGTCTGCAGTCCCACAATGATCTACATTCCCTAACCAGTGATGCTATCCTTCTTCCTGACAACTCTCTTGAGGCTGAACCAGAATGTTCACATCCGTTAGTTTCATAAATGACCTCTGGTTTAGTTTCTGAGCTAGATACCCATCATGCCATCTCTAAAGCCATCAACTTGCACTTCTGTGAAATCCACTGTCTCTGGATTGCTTCAGCTCATCTGCTGACGAAACCCTCATCTGTATTTTTGTTACTTCTAAATTTAACTATTACAATGTTCTCCTGGCCAGAATTCCATAGTCCAGCCTCTGTAAACTTGATATCTTTAAAAATTCCACTGCCCTGGTCATCATAACTCACATCCAGTCCCAATGTGCAACTTGGTTATCTGCCCCTGCACTCAGTGACTTAGACGGGTTCCCAGATAAGCAATGCCGACATTTTAAAATTCTCATTGTTTTCAAATCTTCACATTTTTTTTTCTCTCTATAACCCCTGCAATGTAGAGTTCTCCAAGATACAAGGATATCAATGATCTGCTAATTCTGAACTCTTAAGCCAATTTTAAATGGTCCATCATTGGTAGTCATGACTCAGCTGTGAAGGTCAGAAGCTCTGGAAATCTCTCACTAAAACCCACTGCCACTCTACCTTTCTGTTTTGAAAACATGCCTTAAAACCAAATATCTTCTTATGTGACTCAATGTCAAATTTGTTTGTTAATACTTATTAGAAGTACCTTGAAATATTTTAGCACTTAAAACATGCTATCGCAATGCACCTGTAACTGATGTCTCTACAGAAATGGTTCAGTGTTTAAATGCACTCCTCCAAACTGTGTCACGCTGCCAGGTCTCTTCCAGTGTTTCATTTGAATTTGTTTCCTCATCTCTACTGTGGCAGAGACATAGGATATAAAATCAAGCATTTACACTCAGCCAGAAGTCAGTTATGACACCAGGGAGAGAGATGCCATCAGTCATTAGGGATTGTAGTTTGTGATAACCTGGGAATAGACTGTCTGAAAAGGTGATGGAATTGATTCAACACCAATTTTTGAAAGGAAGTTGTGTAAAATACTTGAAGGGGAAGAAGTTGCAGGGAGATTGGGAAAGGGCAGTGGAACTAATTAATGGCTATTTCAAAGAGGTAGCAGAGCACAATGGGTTTTCATGTGTTCTATCATGCTATGATGTCATGACTGATGGAAGTATTTCATTTAGTCCTCTGCATTCCAATTAAGAAGAGGAAAATAATCCTGCGCTCCTGTTCACTCTTCACCTGCAAGGAAGGGGTAAGTACTGATGTTAGGAAATAATGAAATCAGGATTGGCTGTGGAGCCCTTGCAGGGCAATAGCTCAATGATCAGTGTCAAGGTTCACCCATAAAGCTATAGTTTTGCAAGACACTGCAAGTAAACCAGCTCCCAGGGTGGTATAAAACAAAGAACTGGGAATATTGAAGATCTGAAACAAAAACAGAAATTGCCGGCAAAACTCAGTATGTCTGGCAACATCTATGGGAAGAAAGCAGAATTAACATTAAGCAGAGAACTGTATGAAAAAGAGTCACTGAACTCAAAACGTTAATACCACTTACGCTATCAAACCTGCTGAGTTTCACCAGCAATTTCTCGATTTGTCCCAGACTGGTACCATGTCTCAGTAAGGTGATGGGGAGAATGTGAAATTGTCAGCGAGAGGGTGGAGGAGAGGAAGCAAGAACCCAAACAAGAGGAAGTGTGAGAGGGAGAGCAAGAAGGAGTACAAGATACTGCAAAAGGCAGCATGAGATGCAATGAGAGGAAACTCGAGGGCGAGCATGAATGCAAGATAGAGACAGCAAGAGTGTGAAAGAAAACTGCTGCATTGTTTAACAAGAGAAGAAAGGTCGGTGAACAAATTGCAACTGTAATCAGGACTAGATTCAAATTAGAACACAGAGAGCAGAGTTTTGAATGAACTCAAGGTTTTGAAGGAAATTATGGAGAGCCTGCAAATGTGCCCAGGAGTGTCATGACTTTCAGAAACAAAAGCATTATAAAATGAACCTCCACTTTCGTACAGAACATGCAAGAAGACGCAAAGAAGAAGGCGACGCAATAAACTGTTATATTCATGACACAGTCTCCAGCAAGTGGCACTCAAACAGTAAATAATGACTTACCTGGTCACTCAGATCTCGGGAGACATAGAGCAGAATGTCTCGAGCAACATCCGCAAAGAACGTGTCACCAGATATCTGTGGAAAGATGCACTGCTGTTTAGACTCTGAACTACTGACTGAGCAAAACGGCAGCCCCAACCCAACTCAGAACTAGGTTAATGACAAACAGTAGTGAGGCAAAGCTTTCAAGCAATAAATATACTTACACTTCTCAATTCCAAATACTATCAAAGATCTTCTTATAAGCTCTCTGAAACACGGCACATGAACACTGCTTAACAGAAATACTGAAGGGAACATAATCAACAGCCTTATGCAGCACAGGGGAGCTGTATACTCAGAATCTGTAGCACTTGATTTTAAATATGGAAATGTGGTTAACAATAGGGTGCCACAGAGGTCTTCTACACCGTACTACTTTGATGCAAAACTACACAAAGTTTTTACTCAGCTCCTGGGGAAAACAAACCATAAGCAATCGAAATCTCGGACAACACTCAGATTTTTCTAAGCTTTTAGACAAGTACTTTACATTTTTTATCTGCTTGAATGAAGATTGCTGGGAACATGCCAGGAGCAGCACCAGGCATACCTTAAAATGAGGTATCAACCTAATGAAGATATAACATAGGACTACCTTTGTGCCAAAAAGTGAAAGCAGCATGCAACAGACAGGGTTAAACAGCCCCATAATGAACAAAAACACAAATTGCTGAAAAAATTCAGCAAGTCTGGCAGCATTTCACAGAATCCCTACAGTGTGGAAACAAGCTCTTCGGCCCAATAAGTCCACACCAACCCTCAGAGCATCCCACCCAGAACCATCTCCCTAATACAGGCATTCCTGAACACTACGGGCAATTTAGCATGGCAATCTACCTAGCCTGCACATCTGTGGACTGTGGGAGGAAACCGGAGCATGGGCAGAATGTGCAAACGCCACACAGACAGTCACCCAAGGGTGGAATCGAACCCGGGCCCCTGGCGCTGTCAGGCAGCAGTGCTAACCACTGAGCCACCGTACCGCCTCAGCCTCTGTAGAGAGAAATCAGAGTTAACATTCCAGGTCCAGTGATCCTTCTTTAGAACTGGCCATAATGAACAAATCAGAGCTGAGCTCTGCAGTCCAACAAAATCCAATTGTTAGTGGTAGTGTACAACTGAATAATTAACAGAAGGAGGACACTCCACAATCATCCTCAACAATAGGGCAGTCCAAAACATCAATGCAAAAGTAAATATAAATTTGAAAGTTTTGCATCACTGTTGAAGGCTGATACAAGACTGAAGACAGTCAGCCACTTCGAGTCTTAGAGTTGTACAGCATGGTACCACACCCTTTGGTCCAACTTGTCTATGCTGACCAGATATCCTAATTAATCTAGTCCTATCTGCCAGCGTTCTCTCTAAATCCTTTCTGTTCATATACCCATCCAAATGCCTTTTAAATGTTGTAATTGTACCAGCCTCCACCACTTCCTCTCGCAGCGCATTCCATACATGCACCACTCTCTGCATGAAATATTGTCCTTAAGGTCCCTTTTAAATCTTTCCTCTCTCACCTTAAACCTATGCCCTCTAGTTTTGGACTCCCCTACTTTGGGAAAAAGACTTTGGCTATTTTCCTTATCCATGCCCCTCCTCATGATTTTATAAACCTCTGAATGTCACTCCTCAGCCTCCGACGCTCCAGGGAAAATAGCCCCAGCCTATTCAGCCTCTCCCGACAGCTCAAACCCTCCAACCTTGGCAACATTCTTGTAAATCTTTTCCCGAACCCTTTCAAGTTTAACAACATTTTTGCTTTAGTGAGGAGGCCAGAACTGAACAAGTATTCCAACAGTGACCTAACCAATGTACCATACAGCCTCAACATAACATTCCAACTCCTATACTCAATGCACTGATCAATACAGGCAAGCTGACTAAATGCCTTCTTCACTGCCCGGAGTACCTGCGACTCCGCTTTCAACTACGATCTTGCACTCCAAGGTCTCTTTGTTTGGCAACACTCCCCAGGATCTACCATTAAGTCTAGAAGTCCTGCCCTGATTTGCCTTTCCAAAGTACAACACCTCACATTTATCTAAACTCCAACAGCCACTCCTCGGTCCATCAGCCTATCTGATCAAGGTCCTGTCATACTCTGTGCTAATCTTCTTCCCTGTCCATCGCACTACCGATATTGGTGTCATCTGCAAACTTACTAACCATACCTCCTATATTCACTTACACTTACCTGGACACCATCAGGTATCTTTACTACATTAAAACCCTGGTGGAGGAGAAATCCCACTTTAGAGAGCTCCAGAGCCCAGGAACCCTGGAATCCCACCTCTAATAGTAGCCACTGCTTTAGCTTCACTGCGATTTCCCCAGAGGATCAGCAATGGATCCAATCTCATGTGCTTGAAGACAGTTATGTGGGGAGGGAAGGGGTGCTCAGGAATTTTTGCATCAGTTGGAGAGGGGGTTGAAAGGTGGGGATCAACAGAAAGCGCATGGGCATGGTTTCCTGTGAGCTGTTCCTGCCACTCCCTCTGACCCGGAGTCCTAAATACGGGCATAGTGTGTCTGTGAATGAGGGACTCCCCTTAAAAGGCCACACAAGCAATCTCCACAGTCCAGATGAATACCAGCATCAACAGATGAGATCTCTAGGGAGTCACTGAAGGCTCTCAACAGGCCTGCTAGACTCAACCACAGGGAAGATGGAAGGTGATAGAAAGATGGATAGATTCCTGGTGGATTCTCTACCCTTCCCAACTTTAAAACTCCATTGTTACAAAAGTAGGGACAAGCATCTACTCAATTACTCAGCCAGAAAAATAAGACCCTCTGATATCAGCCAACGATTCAACTGAGAATACTGCCAATAAAAAGGTATGAGAGAAAACAAATCCTTTTATATAAAAGGCCAACAACTGACAACAAGTGAGTGGTTTATCCAGGGGAATGTAATGAATGATGCCTGATTACCTCCCCTCAAGGTCTCCCTGAGAGTTAGGAGTAATGAGATTGGTGTCTGCCATTATTTGAGAGGTTAAGCAGTTCAAAGAATCAAAGAATCAGTACAAAGGCTTAAGTCTTCAGCAAATTCTTGTTTCCTGAAAACGCTGTCATTTAATCGATTTCACCATGTTACTAGCTGATTAATGCTTTTCAAAAGTTCAGTCCAGAAATACTTCCAGCCGTCACTCAAAGACAGTAGAAAGTAAAGCAGGCTTAGCACCTGGGAACTGTTTAATGCCACATCCACAGTGGAGCTACTGATGCCAAGCTGAATCACTGTCTACAAGTATGATTCTAGTGGTATTACATTCTCAGTCAGCAGTGTGTCAGTTCAACATTCTGCTGGGCAGAAGATCCAGTGTAGTGCTGACAGAATGGTGCATTGTCAGCCATGTTGTTCTTCAGTTACAACTTTAAACCAAAGCCCAAACAGCTCTTGAGATTTAGTCGTGAAAGCTAGATTCATGACTATGATACCAAGACTGTAATGAATACTTTATGAGAACAGATTGCATAAACTTGTTTTGCATTCTCTTGAGTTTTGATAGCTGAGGCATGACCTAATTGAGGTGACTATAATTACAAGAGTTTTTAAAGTAGATACTGTATAGAAAATTTATTTCCACTGGTGCAGAATCCACAACTAAGTAACACATCGTAATATGAAATGTAACATCAGGAAGGACTTTTTCTACAAGTGTGACTTTTAAAAAAGCAAGAAGAATTTTTCTCAACCAATATATGTTCTCCTTAATATCTTACGAACTCCAGTCAAATCATCCCTTAGACTTTCAAATTCCACAGAACAGATCTCCCCACTTGTGTAACCTCGCCTCATAATTTAACCTTTGAAGACCTTGTGTCATTTTGATAAACCTTCAAAAAGGCCAATGTCTTTTCTAGGTGTGGCTTAGTACTGCTCAGAGTAATTCCAGGTGTTGGCTAGCCAGGATTTAGAATAGCTGCAGCTCCTAGGCCCCCGTATTCTTATGTTCTAAATGTAAAGGTCAGGAGTCCATCAGTCTTCCTGACTATTCTTTGTGCCTTTTCATGACATTTTAATGATATATGAACCTGGATTCTAACCTTTCACCATTCAAGAAAGCAACCTGTTCAATCCTTATTGAGTCCATTGTGGACGATTTCATATTTGCCTGCACTGAAATTCATTTGCCACATTGTGCCCATTCCTACAATGCCTCATTCATGTTTAGTCTTGCATCTACGAAGCTTACAATGCTATCTAACATTGTGTTAACAGCAGATCTGGGTATATGACTTTCGATCCCATCACCTACATCATAACAAAAGCTAAAAGTAGTTGAGTTGCATATTCTGCCAATTGATCTCATTTACACTTTTCTGCCTTTCAGCCAATTTTCTACTAAGGACAACAATCTCTCTTCAATTCCATGAACTTCAACTTTAAGATTCTTAGGAGTGGCTTTATCACATGCCTTCTGTTAAGTCCTATTAGGTAACATTCATAGACATTCCCCAGTCCATTACTTTAAATTAACTTCTTAATAAAAATACACTCAGGTATGGCAAGCATCCATGCTGGCTGTCTTTGTCCATCCGACTCAATTACTAACCATCTAACTCATTTCCCCAACTGGGGCTGAAATTGTCAACTTTCTCTCTGTGCAATGCACGTTCATGATTGTGTTGGTGGTCCAGTTACCACTGATACTCTGTGCTTGCCCTCCAGAATGCTTGTTCACAAACAAACTAAATCCTTATAATTCTTAAGCCTACTGTGGCTAACAGTAACAACATCATGGCTTGACAGACACTACTGCTCCCCCAGTCAGCCCCCAGTTGAAGTCTCCCTCATTAGCCGTGTCTCTATTGTTGTGGTGGTGCAACTCTCATAACCAAATCTCACCGTGGTCCATCCTCTTGCTCCTCTGGCACTTTTACCGTCATTTTACACCTCACCTTATTCCACACCTATCCATTTAAAACCTTGTTCTCTCCTTCTCATCCAAGTACCACATCTGGTTTCTTAACAAGCTGCCTTCATTTGTTTTCTCTCTCAGCCTCTGCTCCGAGAAACTTCT